AAGAGAAATATGTTTAGAATAATTAATTTATTTATTTTATTTTATGAAATATATAACAATTGAGATTTTCTTAAAATGGTTCAAATTAAGTTAATTTTATTAAAATTTAATTTCAAATGATAACAAAAAATTAATTTAAAAATATTGTAACAGAGTAGTTTAATTTATTTTTACGTCATTTTATTTATTTACTTATTTTTATTTTTTTATTTTTTTTACAACCGTTATTTAAATCGACCAATTAGCATCGTCTATCTTTTAGCCCGAGACTTGACTTTGTACTAGACGTTATTAAAGATGGTGGACGATTAGCGGTTTGTAACGTGTATATATAAGAGAAACATTGCCGTAATCCAACAGAATCGATTGGCACAAACCATAATTACGGCTTTGGTTTTAGCAAGGTGAGTTAAGTAACATTCATTTGCCGTTTTCACAAGTTTATTCGTGTATAAATTACCGATTATTTAATTAGTGTAGTTGAACACGTTTTCCATTTTTTAAGGTTAACAGCCTTTAAATTATCAATCTTTGTTCAGATTTGTAGATGTTTTGTCAGTTTTAATTATGTCTTTTTTTCATTTAACGAGTAAATTTTATTGAGATTTCGTGTATAACATGTTTGAATCTTTAGTAAATTAAATGAAACAAAAAAAAAATTTTGGTAGAAGTTTCAGGTAATTTATATGTACAGTACGTAATGTAAATATCTAAAAGTAACCTCTTACCAAAATTCGAAGATCAAACTTTTTCATGTTAAGGAGTCATTAACATTGATTTTAAATATTATAAAATTGATTAATGTATTACCTAACATAACATTAACAAAACTGTATTAAATATATCAAACAACAACTCAGTTCGTGTAGCCAACATAATATAAGATATATTTTCAGTCAAACATTTGACAATCCTTAGCTTGTTAAAACTTATTTAACAAATTGGAATAGTGTGTATTTATTTTTAATAAACAAAGAATACTGAAAGTATACAGTATATATATATAAACTAGTGAGCAGTTTTAAAGACTAGCAAAAGTTAAATAAATTGTTAAATAAATAGATAACAACTTCCATTAACATTCTCTAGAAAAAGTAAGTAGTAGTAATAGATGGTAGTACAGTAGAACCTCGAAAACTCGGCTCTCGATAACCCGGCACTCCTGATAACTCGGCCCCACCCTAACAGGGCAAAAAAATCCTTAGTTAATTAATTTTCATTATAGACAGCTTTATAAAAGTATAAAAACTCTCATAAAGTATTTTTCTGAGGTCTGTCTTATCAGGTAAATTACTGTNAATATATAGTATACAGTATATGTTTTATTGAATATAAAAATAAATGTATTGTATGTAAAACATACAATACAGCTTAAAAACATTTAGAAAATCATATACAGTAGTAAGCATAATATAATACTGTGCATATGTACAGTACAGTATTTATAAAGTTTTGAAGTTTTAAATAAAGTTGTTTGCTATGTGTTTCATTATCTTCTGCAGTTCATCTAAATTACTTGCCCAATTTGGGAGCAGGCAATAATATTAACTTGACAATTACTGCTTATTCAAAAATCCATTTAAAGGAAAGTGACTGCAATTTCACTCAGTTTTTTTTCACAGATGCAGAAGTATCTTGTGTGCTTCTCTCCCTTGTCACTAGTGGTGCTGCCACAAACATTGGTACATCACACATCTTATGGCAGTTTTCCGTCTTCTCTTTCTTAATCTATGGCTTCGAGTAGCCCACTTGACTGTTCATGGAGTACTTGATGTTTTGGGGTTATAGGGGCTTTCCCCACTCAGGTGTTGTAGGAAAAACTTACAGGAAAATAGTGACTTTTATTTTCAATACAGATGTTTCCTTGAAGAATTTAAACTGCTTGTTGAAATTCTCTTTTAATATACAGTGGTACCTCAGGTTACGAACGCCCCAGCATACGAAATTTTCAGGATACGACATGAAATTCGAACATATTTTTGCTCCACGATACGAACAAAAACTCACCATACGACGTTACATTAGTTCGCATTTTTCATTTGTTTTTCTTACTACAGTTATTTTCTTTAATGTATTACTTGGCTTTAATTTGAGTATGTTTTTCGCGTTGGAACGAATTATTTGGTTTAACATGTAATCGTATGGGAAAAGATGATCCCACCTTACGACATTTTCATGATACGATCTCAGTTTCGGAACGGATTAAATTCGTATCCTGAGGTACCACTGTAGCTGCTATTTTTTTCAACAATGCTGTACTTTGACTTAGCCATTGCAGGTGTATTATCTATAACTAAACATGCCAGTTTTGACCAAGACAATTTTTCTTCCTTATAAATTGCTTTAATTTTGTCATAAAGCTGTAAAACTATTGATACTACAGTAGCTTTTGTTGTATTAGTTGACACACTTCAGTTATTTTAAGATTTTCATCTACCTCACAAATAATAATCTATATATATAAAAACGGACGTGTGGTCCCTATATTTCACTTTTCCGCAAAAACTACACATCGCACGTGAATGGTGTTTGT